TGCTGCTGCTGCTGCAGTGGGGGCCCCTTCCGGTGTCAGGGGGGCCCCCGGGGGCCCCCCTGGCCCCGCAGGGAGCGTGGGGGGCCCCCCTGAAGAGGCCAAGAGGGGGGCCCCTGGAGGCCCGGGAGGCCCCCCTGAGGGCACGGGGGGGGCCCCTGAGGATTCTAAAAGGGTACCAAAAGAGGAAGCTGCTGCTGAGCTGCAGCAAATCTCCAGAGGGGAAGAGGGGCCCCAGAAGGAGGGGGCCCCCACAGCTGGAGGCCCCAGGGAGGGGGCCCAAGGGGCCCCCCGAGCTGGGGGCTTCAGTACCCCTCTGGGGGCCCCGGGGGCCCCCACAGCTTGGGCCTCTAGGGAGGGGGCCCTAGGGGCCCCCATAGAGAAAGGGGCCCCACAAGAAGAGGGAGCCCCTGGGGATGAAGGGGCCCCCAAAGAGAAAGAGAAAGGGGCCCCTGAGGAGGAGGGGGCCCCCAAACAGAAGGGGGCCCCTAAAGAAGGGGCTCCTAAAGAAGAAGGGGCCCCCAAAGAAGAAGGGGCCCCCAAAGAAGAAGGGGCCCTCAAAGAAGAAGGGGCCCCCAAGGAAGAAGGGGCCCCCAAAGAAGAAGGGGCCCCCAAAGAAGGGGCCCTTAGGGAAGAAGGGGCCCTTGAGGATGAAGGGGGGCCCCCCGAGGCCCCTGAAGAGAAGGGAGCCCCTGAAGCGAAGGGGGCCCCTAAGGAAAGACCCTTTGATGATGGGGCCCCCTTGGGGGCCCCCCTTGAAGAACAGGGGCCCCCGCCTGCAGCAGCAGGGGGGCCCCCTGAGGGCTTGGGGGCCCCCAGAGGAGCAGCTGGGCCTAAGAATGGTGCTGCTGCAGCAGCAAAAGAAGCCCATAAGGGAGCAGCAGCAAACCAAAGGGCCCCCGGGGAGAGGGGGGCCCCCTTGGGGGCCCCCAAGAGGAGTGGGGGAGGCCCAGAGGAGGCCCCCAAGAGCAGCAGCAGGCCGGCAGCTGAGGCCCTGAAGAAGCGGGGGGCCCCCGCAGCAGCAGCAGCAGCAGCACCTGCTGCTGCTGCAGCAGCGCCAACTCGAGCCAGTCTCTTGAAGCAGCAACACAGCAGAGGCAAAGAGGCCCCACAAACTTTGCTACTAAGGGGTGGGTCCAGCAGGGGGGCCCCACTTAGGGGGGGTTTAGCTGGCAGCAAAGAGTTCCACAGCAGCAGCTCAGGGGCCCCTGTACAGAAGCGCCACTCAGTAGAGCAAAGAGGGGGCACAGCAGCAGCAGCACCACCTGCAGCAGCAGCAGCGCCAGCAGCAGCAGCAGCACCAGCAGCAGCAGCAGCGCCAGCA